CATCAACCTGAAATAAGATTAAAGAAATAAGCAAACTGCATTTTTTATTGAGAAGAAACACGCGTAAAATCGGGATTGTAAACAGACCCAAAACAACATCTATAAAACCTCTCTGGGATTTCAAGTATTTCCTTGCCATTATTCATATTAAATTATCATGCGGTCGTTGTCGTTCTTGACCTGAATCATGCATAAACTCCCCATTGTTCGGTTTATCTAAAAATGCTCAATTGCTTAATACTCACGTTTTATTATGAACAGGTTTTGTCGTTGTTTCAAATGGCTTGACCCGCTAAATCGCTACCTGCAATAAAACCAAAAGAATGCTTGTTATAGACAGCGATTTCAAGGATTTACCTTCGATGGAGCTTAAATATCGGGAGAAAACTTGCGGTGTGATTATTCAGTTGAGAGGACGCATGATGCCTGATCAAGCGTTTCAAGTTTTCCCATCCTATTTTGAATAAAATAGACCCAAGATTACCTTTTCATTTCAGCAACAAGTGTTGAAGAGCAGCTTTGGACTTGCCGTCTCTTTGAATGCGAGTCATCTCGGGGAATTTCAGCTCTGGGTTTTCTTTCCCAGCTCATTTCTATATTCGGTTTGGTTTTAGCTCTTAAACTCCACCTGGAAGAACAAAAGGCAATGCTAATTTACTGGTTTGGTCTTTATAACTCAATTCAAAGGTAATTGCTTGCGATTGGAGCAAAGGTTAGCGGCTCACATACGATTTAGCGTATAATTATTACCTTTCTCATATCATCAACAAGTCCCAAGAAAATGCGTAGACGTGCTTTTTCTTCAAAGGCGAGTTATCTTGAGTCAAATGCGAGTCGTCTCGGGCAATTTCAGCTACGATAACGGACTTTTTGCCCACTTCACTTCATTCAGTTTGGTTTTAGGCTCTCAAACTCCACCTGGAAGAATAAAAGGCAGCATTAGTTCACTGCTTAGGTCTTTAGAAATCAATTCAAACGTAATTTGCGTGTGGTTAGAGGGAAGGTTAGCGGCTCAACGGTAAGATTTGACGTATATTACCTCTCCCATATCATCAATATTCCCCAGAAAAAGCCTAGACTTGCTTTCTCTTCAAAGGCGAGTTATCTTGAGCCAGTTCAGCCACAATTCATCGGTCGTCAATCTCTTGTTCACAAATTTCATCGTTTAACTTCGCTTTAATACGTCAAAATTCTGCATGAAAAGAATAAAAGCTACGTTAGTGCTATACAAGTTTGTATTTGAAGCTGAACACAACACGGGAGAGGCATTACTAGACGTGAACTAAGACACGTGGAACCTCAGCCCAAAAGCTCACGATGAAACAAGCTGATAAAACACGCAAAGGGAAAGGCATATTACCTGGTATTACACCAACGACAGTCTGTCAAAGATAGTAAACTTCTATTAAACTTCTCTTCTGCTGAAGACGATAGCAATCTGACAGCAATTTCTGTTGCAATTTTCATGGCATGGAGGAGACTCATTTTCATTCTTCGAAGACCGGCGCTGAAGTGATGTCTCAAACTGGAATCAAAAGCACATATATTATTCATTTCACCCGCTCCTCGTGTCTGCAAAATAAAGTCATCCTATTGGATGAACACTCCCGACCTGACAGCTCAACAACGCTTCTGATTTGACGTTCATAGTAATTTAAATAATATGATTAATTCTCTTCTCCTGAGCCTGAACATCAGAAATGAAAGAAAAGAATTAATCATATTATTCAAATTACTATACTCGTCCAATCAGAAGCAATGTTGAGCTGTCGGGCCGGGAGTGTTCAGCCAATAGGATGACTTTATTTTGCAACAAGGGAGCGGGTAAAATAAATATCTAGCTTTGATTCAACGTTGCCACATCACAACATGGGTAACACGGAGTCGGAGTTCCGGAGCCGGAGTTTCGGAGCCGGAGTTCCAGAGTCAAAATTACGGAGTCTGACGTAATATTTTTAACAGACTCCGTGTTTTCCATAATTTGTGACTCCGTGTTTTCCATATTTTTAACAGACTCCGTGTTTTCCATAATTTGTGACTCCGTGTTTTCCAATATTATTACGTCAGACTCCGTAAGAAATGGCGCTGCTTCTGTTTTTGCTAATCTATTGCATATATATGGTCAGCAAAAGCGGAAGCAACGCCATCTCTTACACGCCATTACGAATTTAGGTGCCGTCCTGTTTGCGGAAGGTCTCTATTAACACCTTTCGTCCCGAACGGGTTTCCAGACCGACTTTGATAGTCTCATTAATGGTCTTCGGACAGACTTTAAGACGTTTTCGAGCATTTTCACATTCCTTTTCACGCAAAAAAAGTTCTAACACCGTTAATTTACAACAGACGTTGAAGCTAATTTGGCACATTAAACATATTTTTTCCTGAATCGCGTGGACATGCAGGGCGTCTAAACTATAAAATAGACAAAAGATTTTTGTCTGAATAGTAGAATATTCGTAAGTATATTGAGTAGAAAATTCAGCAAAATCCACGAAGGCTGGTTATTTACTAAGAGAGGCGATTCCTTAATTGTTACATGCAGGTGTTCCACTGAGTCAAAAAAACAATTAAAAAACTATTTATTGCTTTAAAATGCAAATTTTAAGTAAAACAATTTTAAATTACAATTTTCATTATTTCAATGCACATGTCGTTTCCTCAAAATGAATTGAAGATCAAAGCAAGGCAATAAAGCTAATTTAGCAGATTTTTCCCTGGATCGTGTAAACGATTTTGAAAACGCTCAAAAACGACGCTTGTGTGAACGTGCATAATTATATAATTTATAGAATTAGGGCTGTCACATCGCCCCATATCCCTGGACTCTGTTCTGAATAGTAGATTATTCGTTCGTAATAAAGTCAGCTCATGCAGCCGAAAACCCAGGCTGCATGGTAATCATGCAATAGAGACGATTCCTTATTCTTAGATGTCTTTCCATTAAGTCTATGTAAACAATTGAAAAACTATTCATATTTAGATTTCAAGTAAAATTTTAAGTAAAAACAAATTTGAATTACAGTTTTCATTATTTCAGTGCACATATCGTTAATAAATTTCCTCAAAATGAATTCAAGGTCGAAACACGACACATTGAGGAGAAATTCAACAGTCTCAGTGAGATTAATTTTTTCAATTTTTAAAACAACGAATGAATGTAGAAGTATACTTCAGCTTTCATTGCGTCTCGTGACGGCGTATATTGTTAATAAACTGGCCCATTAGTCCTTTGTTTTGAAAATAAGTATTAATAATCAACCAAAGGCGGTTCTCCAAATTAGGTTTAACATTTTTGAAAAATGCATGTTTAACGTTTTATTAAATTGGTCAGAAATATGTTAAAGTTTAACCGCGCCTACATGGCAACGTATATAAGCAATCTGCATGATAAAGGAAACTGTCAAACAATTAAACTACGATCTCGCAGATGTTCATCTCTCGATACCAAGGGAAGATGTCGTTTATTTCGATCACGCTAAAAATATTGATTGCATTCTGCATTTCAACACTGATTTATGGGGAATTACAAAGGCAAATGTATTTCAAGATACAAAAAGGTGAGCCGATTTAAAAACGTATAATATCCATGCATGCGTGCATGCAGAGGTCGCCAACCGCAAAAAATTTCCTAACATTTCGAACATGGGAATTTGGCCAAAGAGATAGCAGTCTTATAATTGACGCATAGCGCTCATGATCAAACAGATTTTCTTCTATTTTAGAGAGTTATTTTAGAACATCTGAAGAGAAGTTATTGTTAGTAACTTAATTTACATTTTACGATACACTTTCATTCGGCCACATACAGCGGGCAAAATATTCTAGCTTTTGACGGCACTGATACAAATGCAAGTACGGTATAACAACGTAGTATAGGCTAACTAATATTCATATCTACAGGTTATACATAAATAAACTATAACCGCAAGTTGCAAGGTATAACCAATATTATGCGTGACCATGCAAGAAGATGCGGGGCAGCGTCTTCAGTCTATAACAAGTTCACTGCAAATGTGCATGATGCATGCATGTAACAGCTGCCTAAGAAGACATAAAAAGGTCTCGACATTTCAATTTTAAAGGCTAAATTAAGTCTTTAAGTGTCACTATAGTATGCATTGCGGTGGGATGAGTTTATAAACTGCCCCATGCAGCAGGTTGATCATCTTATATTTGCTTAAAAACTGAAATGATTATTACCGAAGGCTGCATGTTGCACATGTATGCATGTTAATTATATTGTCCTTTGACAGCCGTGCCACTACCATCTACGAGAAACGTACCGTTAATGACCTTATTCGGTTATTTGGCATTTCTATAAACTGGTTGTTGTAAATGTTTAACTTTTTCATGAAGTGTCGGGCGAGTGAAGGTTTAATGAGTTGCCGGATGATATATAAAAAAGGCCAGAGTCCGGGGTTAAAATAAATAGTAAGGGCTGCATGCTTTCCACTGTCGCGTTTTTCATACGCACGTACACGCAAGTATAAAAGTCGTGAAGCCTTGTAAATGTCATATTTGAAAAAGCCAGGCGAATAAATCGAAAGAATTTAGTTCTCCGCATGCGAAAAATATGCATTTCTTAGTATATGCATTTGTTGGACTATTTTTGAAATAATAACAATTTGGAGCCATTTAAAACTTTTCGAAAAAACACGACATCGCATGGAATTCATGCATATGTGATATAAAACTATAATATTGAACCAAAAATTTTTAATTTTTGAAACAATCCTAAATATTTTGATGATCGTACGGGCTAAAAAAGTACATGAAACAGTCAATATATCTGGTGCTTTAACTTTTATCAGCTGTTGTGAAATTAGATGTTTAAACCAATGATGTCCTAAACGCTTTGCAGGTTATCGTCTACCCTGGGAGTATATAATATCAAACTACTCCGTTTATTCAAGCTTGGATTGCGCGCATTTTTGTCTGGAAAAAAGATGTCGTTCAGGATTTTCATTTAAGACGAAGAAGAAAAATGAAATGAACTGCTTACTCACAGACATCCCACTAGCATCTGAGGACAATGAAAAGGATGAATCATGGCAGTTTTATCAGATAATGTCTGGGTGTCAGGTAGGCATTATTATGTGAAAATTTAAAAACAAAAACTACGGCTCAACAAGAGACTCCAAGGAGTGGTCTTAGCATGTGTCTAAATTTTCCAGGCCCTAAGCTGTTCTTACTGCCCACAGATTGCTTACGGGGACTGCTGAGTTCACTATTTGGTATTAATTCTTAATGTAAAGGCTATTTTTATAATTATGATGCATGCCCTTGGAAATATATAGGGCAGTCACGCATGGAATTACGAGTACGAGATTCGTTCTCGCGCGTTGTTTGCTGACGCCATCAGCCAAAACTCGTAATCATCGAGCTTTTGAATACGAGTTTGTTGGTAAATTTCATACTCGAAACCAAACGGCTACGAGTTTCGACAGATTGCGTAGGCGAAAGCACCGAGCTTGGCGCGAAAATGACGAATCTTGTACTCGTAGTCGCACTGGTATAGTGAACGCTAAAGCTCCCTAATACATTAAAAAGTCTGGTTTAAGCTTCGTGTGGTTTCAAGGTAAAAGGAATGTGCATGCCCTGCTCTAAAACTCCGAAAAATGCTTCCGGCAGCTTTCAACATGTTGGCAATCTCTCCTGTAGTATGGAAGCAAAGAACATCCTGGAACGTCTTGTCGTGACATTTTAACCAGAAACTGCACTGACAATGGTATTTATTGGATCTCGCTAAATTCGGGTAAGCAAACTTGGTATAGACATTACACCAGAATTCATGCGAAGTTATTTATTCCTTTTTAATAATTATTACCTACCAAAACGTTTCATGTTGCAGATGCATCTAACATATTTCCTGTGTTGTGTGATATGATGAATGGAGGTATATTTTACTCGATCTTATTACAAATTCTGCAAATTATTTTTCAAAGTGAACATTCCTTTTCGAATGTTGAAACTAAACAATTCGCATATAATCCTGCCTGCATTCTCCAACAGGGAAATAATGAAATACAATAAAAAATGAAAAGAAATTGACCTTACAGGCACCTTTATGTTCTGAGTTAGCTAATGTAGGCAGGATTTATTGACATTTTATGCGCAAGTCAGTAATGCCTTTGACTAAACTTTGCAAACATGCAAGTATATGAGCAGATTGCTTGGATGTCATTTTACAACCATAACAGAAATTATCAATTTAAATGTGTTAAAACGATATAGCATGCCATTATTAATTTGTTACTATAATAAAACGAAAAAATGGTGTATACTTTGCGCCGTTAATGGCATATGCCTTAATTACTTAAAACTTAAAACACCAAAATATGCATAACAACACACAACACACATGCACAACAAAGAAGGGGGTGAGACAATGCTTTTTCCTGAGCGATACAGATACGAGATTCGTTGGTTATATTGTTCACTTTTTAAATATTATTGTGTTGAATTGTTTTGCAAAATTTGTTCCTTCTGACTTTCTTCAGGTTGGACCCTAATATTTAAAGGCGTTGCAGGTGTTTCTGGAGTTATACATAAAATTTGGGAGAGTCAATCTACATTTAACGAGGAGTCATTTGAAGCTTTGAATAAAGAGAATAACTTCAAAAGTCATTATAAAAATAGAATTGTCAAAGAATGGAACACTTTTAATCCAGCCCAGGTAGACATGACTATGTTGGCTTCAATGGACAGGATGCGGTCTTTATGATACATAAAAAATATACCAATTTGACAGTAACTATAGATGAATATTAGTGAGAATGATATATAAATTATGTTATTATATATTATATATATATATATATATATATATATATATAATATATATATATATATATATTATATATTATATATATATATATATATATATATATATATATATTATATATATATATATATATATATATACAGTCACTGCTGAAAAGGTTGTCCATCGTATATACCATTATATGTATCACGTGACTAATTGGTATGCATCAACACGCGTGTGTTTTGTCGGGTAGTTTGCGTGTTTACTCTGGTCCATAACAAAGTGCGCTCGTAACTGCAATAATACGGCAATCACTGCAATAGCCAAGTATCTGCCTCCTAATAATGATTTTCAATGCATGATAACAACAATGGTTGATGGCATTAAATTGGGTTGTGGGTACTGATACTGGTTGTTTAAGTTCGTGCAAAGTTTGCAGTTCAGTAATAGGGCATCTTCGTTCATGTACTGCACTATCGTCTTAGCTGGCTGCATTATGTTATTCGTCGTCTGCCGATTGATTTGAATTGCTCTTGTGAAACAGATCGCCGTGTGACACAGTCACACAGTGATATTATGTGCATGTTTTGTATAATACCTTGATTATAATCGCATATACCAAGTATAGAACACGGGGCTTCCTGCGTTTATATGCGGCAAGTGCTAGAGATAGTCGAACGTGTTCACATTTCAAATAATCGTTAACCAGTTGTAGAATCATTTTGCACCTTGGCGAATAAAATCAGCGCTTCCCGCTCTACAACCGTACCGTATATATATATATATGGCAAAGCTTACATAGCTTAGCACGACCTGATTTGGCACGGTAAAGTACGGCTGAAATTGAAGACGAAAACTGCATGGTTTTCCTGGTAATGTCCAATACACGAACTTCGAGAACAGGAATCATGCACTGATTCTGCCTCAACGTTTGAATCCATCATGAAAACAACTCAGTACTTTCCGTATCATGCACAAACGTCTCATGCAGCGGCGTAACCTGTATTTGCAAGACTCGTGGGACATTACCGCCTTGATGACATTACAGCTTGTTTACTTGAAAAAACGGATGATCGGTGATCCGATGCAAAAATTTACGTAATAAGGCGTATAACGGGAGCTTCAATTTCAGCCGTACTTTACCGTGCCAAATCAGGTCGTGCTAAGCTATGTAAGCTTTGCCATATATATACGGTACGGATGTAGAGCGGGAAGCGCTGATTTTATTCGCCAAGGTGCAAAATGATTCTACGACTGGTTAACGATTATTTGAAATGTGAACACGTTCGACTACCTCTAGCACTTGCCGCATATAAACGCAGGAAGCCCCGTGTTCTATACTTGGTATATGCGATTATAATCAAGGTATTATACATAACATGAACATAATATCACTGTGTGACTGTGTCACACGGCGATCTGTTTCACAAGAGCAATTCAAATCAATCGGCACACGACGAATAACATAATGCAGCCAGCTAAGACGATAGTGCAGTACATGAACGAAGATGCCCTATTACTGAACTGCAAACTTTGCACGAATTTAAACAACCAGTACCAGTACCCACAACCCAATTTAATGCCATCAACCATTGTTGTTATCATGCATTGAAAATAATTATTAGGAGGCAGATACTTGGCTATTGCAGTGATTTCCGTATTATTGCAGTTACGAGCGCACTTTGTTATGGACCAGAGTAAACACGCAAACTACCCGACAAAACACACGCGTGTTGATGCATACCAATTAGTCACGTGATACATATAATGGTATATACCATGGACAACCTTTTCAGCAGTGACTGTATATATATATATATATATATATATATATATATATATATATATATATATATATATATATATATATATATATATATATATATATATATATATGAAATTCTGTTAAAGAGGATGACTTCTTCAGGCATAAAATAATATATATTTACTCCAAACGTTTCGCCGGTTAGGGCTTCAGTGGAGAATGAAATTTACAATGATTGTGATAGGTCTTATATGTACATGTAGTCTCTGATTAAAATGTACATATAAGACCTATCACAATCATTGTAAATTTTATTCTCCACTGAAGAAGCCCTAACCGGCGAAACGTTTGGAGTAAATATATATTATTTTATGCCTGAAGAAGTCATCCTCTTTAACAGAATTTCACATTAATACCAGGCATGGCAACCAAAACACCTTCATATATATATATATATATATATATATATATATATATATATATATATATATATATATATATATATCAAATCATGAAAGGTATTTAATTATTTAATTGAATTTGTTTACAAGGCTCGTATTGTATTGTACTCTGAAGGAAAAGAAGACTTGGTCTTAACATTCAATGCTAAGAACAAAGGCAGCTTGCACTGGTTTCAGGAAGCAAATCTTGAATCCTCCCCTTGGAAAGATATTTATGGAACGCCAAAGAATAGTTTCAGCCTTATAGGAGATTGTAATGTTCAGAAAACAAAATGCCGTGACTTCTATATCAGTCGTCTTCACGCCAATTGTCCTGGTGACCGCGGCTGGTTAACTATAGGAAATAGAGATTATGATTGTAACTGGGAGAGAATATATGGAAAGACTTCGTTTCTTTACAGCAAGAAAGAAACTAATGTTACCTGGAGTGATGCTGGTAAAAAAATGTGACTTTAGATTCTTTGCATGTACAGTTTGCAAAATTATATTCCTTGAGACCTCAGTGTAACCACAGTTATTAGAATATACATGGTTTGGAGACTAGATGGAAGTACAATACAACTCATTATATATGTTTCAAGTTTAAGTAGGAAGGCCACTTTATTATATGTTATTGTCCAGGTTTATGCAAAAAATGGTTCTTTATTTGTAACACGTCTATTGTATTTTAGCCCAACTAACCAATAGCAATGGCTTGGCTTAGCTCCTCAACCGCGACTTGTAAAACATGTTAATTCAGACCTTACTATTGGTTTATTTGTTCAAAATACAATAGACACGTGACGAATAAGGAACAATTTTTTGCATAAATGTCCCCCGACATAGATAATGAACTCTATTGTAATGTAGTCTCCATACCATGTATATTTTGTTAACTATGGAGTAACGTTGGAAATACCTTAGTGGCGGCCTAAGTGCATTCAATCAACATATTTTGCCGCTTATTAATTTTGTTGCATATTTCCCCATAGTCTCTGCTCTTAATTTAGTTTAATGGGTGTTATTTAGAAGCGATAAAAATTAGGGTGTGCCTATTAACGTTTACTTAATTTTTAAGACAAAAAAAGAAATCATTGCAGGGGACATAAGACGAATTTATGAATATTTACACTTATTATACTTTTCAATTAATTTTCATTTTCTATCCTATCAATATTTCTGTTGCTTTAAATTTCTTTTCTTTAATCTGACCTGACGTATTCCTCCCATGCACAGTTGTTCTTACAAAGTACTTACTTGTTTTTAAATTTTCTTTTAGTAAATGTTGGTTCTTCTGAAGTATTCGCAGTTTATCTTCGTTAGTCCTGCATGAGAACGACGAAAACGACGTGTTCGCGTTAACTGCGACGTGTAGGCTGTTGTGAAGTAGATGTGCTCTACTATTTGTGTGTCGAACTTAGAAAACAGTTTAATTTTTATCATAGAATCGAAGTTTTTGATAGTTGACGTGTGTTTAGATTGCGGAGTTTGTATAATATTCTCATGAACTGCACCTATATAATTTGTTTGATTGTGGATTAACCCACAAATCTTCAGAGGATTACGGGGCCAGGTATATAATCACTAATCTCCCGTATACATAGCTATATTACCATTATGTCATAGCAAGCATAGACTATAGTTATAAGTATTGAGTTTTAAAAATAAAAAAATGTGTAATATAATATCCTTGTAATTTTGCATGGTGATATAAAAATATCAGTAAATTAGCTAGCGGCTATAGCTTGAACACAGACCTTCGTTTCGCCCGCGTTAAAATTCGCGAGAGACGGAAAGGCGAAACAAAAGTCTGAGAAAAAAGTGCTCTCAAGCAGGCTCTTCCCACTTTGCTGTTTTTAGTAATTTCACTGATGATTGACACAGTTAATTCACACTTCTTTCAATGCTTACCAGAGTTTCTTGTAAACATTCGCGGAGTATGTTGGGCGAGTGCGCCTCCTTGGCTTTTGTTCCGGTAATTTTTGGTTAGTTTACATGCACAGAAGTGTTCACTAGCAATAATAATTGTTGCTGTATTATAAGGATTGGATGAGGTAAGGTTGGATTTTGTATTAAACGAATTCGAAAGACACAGCCCGACCACTGCATGATCGTATTCAAGCAACATTCATTTCTGTGATTCGTAAAATCTCTACCCAAATATAAGAAGCATAAATACTTTTCAATTTCACCTAAGTGCTGAAGATTGCCAACGATCTTTCAAAATATCCTTTCTGTGAAACTCCATCTTTCTGTGAATTAGCCAATCAGCTTTGTCGACCGCTTCCATACGCTTTCGAGCACTTTTTTCTCAGACCTTTGCGTCTCCCCGCGAATTTTAAGGCGGGCGAAACGAAGGTCTGTGTTCAGGCTATAAATGAGGTTGTAGGTAAACCCTAAGTATTTAATACATTCCAATACAACCAAGGAGCAGCGTGGCAGCGTCTTCAAACAACTTAGCATCAAATGTGGTATAACAACTGCCTAAATAGACAAAACACTTCTCGATCGACGTTTCGACCTGAGGGCCTTCGTCAGAAGAGTTAATAGTACTCTCCTGACGAAAGGCCCTCAAGTCGAAACGTCGAGAAGTGTTTTGTCTATTTAGGCAGTTGTTATACCACATTCGATGCTAAGTTATTTAATACATTGATGCATTGTTGAACATGAGTTCTTCTACAATTTATTACTTTTCAAGCATTTTTGCACTCGTTATAAAAATCACTATTCGGCGGAGGGTGCATGCTGGTCCCGTGCAAGCTAAAATTTTAGCTTTATCATGTAGTTGGCGATCATTGGTTTGTTAATCCAAATGCTTTTCCAACTGAGCGACAAGGTCATGACCGGGTCGATGTGATATTTTGGAACTCAAGCCTCTTACAGACGAACAAGTTTTCTATGACAAGTTTTTATATGACAAGTTTTAAATGTTCGCCTGTACGCACAACTTTGACAATTTTTTCTATGAGAAGTACACTTGTTATTTTGCTCAAATTTTGCTGTCAACAAAGAAGACTTGTCACATAATGTGAGCACTTGTATGCGGTTTGCCAGCGGACTATAGTATTTTGCAATGGCGGGCTCACGTTGTCCGCTGTACGATTACATCGATGGCTGGGAACTAAATTGTCAAAGTAAACTTGTTGCACGTTCACACGAGCAAATAAAACTTGTCATGCAAAGAAAAACTTGTCATAGAAAATTTGTTGTACATACACACGTGCAATTGCCAATTAAAACTTGTCACATAAAAACTTGTCATAGAAAACTTGCTCGTCTGTAAGAGGATTCAATCAACTCCTATATCTGTGTGTCAAATTAATGTGCAATCTGATAGTTTCTATACTAGACAGATATTTAACAGTTATTCTGCGAACTCGAGTCGTATATGAGCTGATAGAAAAAGATTATATACACAAACTTTGTACTCCCCAAATCTTTCGGCCATTTTGTTTACTTTCTCTACTAGACAGATATGAGCTAATATCTGTCTAGTAGCCAACCAATGAGATTGCAGCATACCTCACATCTGGCGCTTGTGTATATAATAAAATGAGATATATTAGCTCATAGCCCTCTAGTAGAGAAACGGAAACGAAATCGCGAGAAAGATTTGGGAGTTAGGTTTACGCGACAAAGATATTCAAGTTTTACTTGATAAATGTACACTAAAGTGCACTGAAATGGCAACTGAATTTGGAATAAAAGTATTCAACGCGGTAGATAAAAAGCTATTTTTAAAATTTACGGTTTTGTCTCTGTGTTCCCGTGCATTAAACACGATACAGCATTTCATTATTCAACTTTTAGTGTATTCAGTAAATATTCAAATTACGAATGAATGCAGCCGGCTGCAGCCTTTATAGAAGTTGCGGGTCGTCATGGAGTTCTATTTTGGCACAAACGTATTCTGTCACAATGTCAATGTAAATTTACAACTAAACGCTGTAATATAATAATATATACATACATTATTGTCGTTTTACAAAAGTCAACAATGCATGCATGCGAATGATTATTATTGCTTTTTTATTTATTTCCATACTGCCACAGTCAAGCCACAAAGATTCATTAAGCTTTCTTGCTTCCAGATTGTACACACAGGTTTGTGTTAATCATTTTTTAAAGTGCTGGAGCTTCTGATTATACGTCTTAATTTTGCGCCACGCACGCACTGTCTCGTGCTGAACACAAAGTACAACGACAATTGCAATGAAGAGAAAAATATTGCGAATTCGTTTCCTCGCTATGTTATTGGTTACAATCGTTGCAGTTACATATTTGGTTCGAAGACAAAGTAAAAGATGTTATTTTGTAAATGAAAATGCCAGTCCTAAGGTCAGTATTACGCCGGTCTTCCACTAGCGTTTATTTTCGCGCGAAGCGACATTTTACTTTTGTTTCAAAGCTATCAACTGCAACCATCTGGAACAAATTGCTCAAATACAAAGGAATAAAGTCGCTTCGCGCGAAAAATATCGCTAGTGGAAAACCGGCATTAGTTCATTGACTTAATATACGGCCCGACAATTAAAGGAATTAAAGTATATAATATATATATATATATATATATATATATATATATATATATATATATATATATATATATATAAATAATATGCTACAAAATTCGGAATAAACGTATTCAACGTTAGACTATATAGGTTTACATAATTTACGATCCACTTTAGTTCTATATGTTAGGGCCACATGGTCGATGTGAACGGGGACGGGTGAAAATTTGTCTTTATTCCCTGTTTCTAAATTATCATTGTTGACTTATCATTGTTGGAAAAACACACCGCAATATTCTAACATTAACCACCTTGACAATATTTACGGAAATTACGAGGAAACTAGCACTAGCTATAAAGAAACCTATTTGAACGCTGGTAGTACTTTTGAATGCATGCATGCATGCCGGACGAAAACTGTTACAAGGACGACTTGGATGTACACGGCTTGAAAAGTGCACTTTTTCTGGAATTTCTAAAACTATTTGAAACGCAAGTTATACCTTCAGACAAAAAGTCAAAAATGCTCTGTTTCATGCACGTTTGAGAAGCAAAGATTTTCTTCCATCGATATTCGTAGCTGCACGTGAGCTGTCGCTCATTTGACTCATTTCACATACACATTAGCCCCATCTACACTACACTTAATTTATCGGCACGGCAAGGCTAAAGTCAGTGCGAAATGCCGTTTAATTTAACTTGGGGCGAGTCATAACGCTCGATATCAACAGAGATTTTACAATTTTAGTTTTACAATTATTTATAGTACTAATGAAGTTTCCATGACAACCGAGCTAGCGTTTGGAAAATTACAAATCTAGATCGATAAAATGACAAGGAAACTATTTTAGTTCGAAATGCTACAAACTGAGTGTTTTTTATATTAAGGATGAGGAAAATGTGAAGGATTTTGATGCAGGCGAAGTCGTGAATAATTCAGTAAGTCAATATAAGAAT